TTTCAACGAATCTTGGAGTGGGCTTCATGTTTTATAAGAATTCTTGGTATTCCATTTCTGATTTTTTTTTTTTAAATATCTTGAGATCCTCAGGTCTTTTATGTCTGAAAGCGTTTTAAAAAATCTTGGGGAGGAGGCCTCATGTTTTATATCTAAAAAAAATTAAAGGATCTTGAAACCCTCAGGTGTTTTATTTCTGAAAATCTTTTAAAAAATATTGAGTAGGGGGGGCTCTCATCTTTTATATTTGAAAACAATTTAAAGGACCTTGAAACCTGAGGTGTTTTATACTTATAAAATTTTAATGAATCTCAGCAGCCTCTGATGTTTTACATCTAAACGTGCTTTAAAGAATCTTAAGGGGCCCCTTGTGTTTTATATTTGGAAAAAAAATTAAATGATTCTGCAACCCTTAGGTGTTTTACATTTGTAAAATTTTAATGAATCTCAGGGACTTCTGGTGTTTTATGACGGAAAGTGCTTTAAAAAATCTTGGGGGGGTGTCTTGCTTTATTTTGGAAAAAAATTGTAAAGAATCTTGGAGTCCTCATGTGTTTTATATTTGAAATATATATTATATCTGCAAGTGTTTTAACGAATCTTGGAGACTTCATGATTCATAGGGACCCTTGGTGTTCTATCTCTGAAAATTTTTTAAAAAGATCTTAAGGCCCTCGGGTGTTTTATATCTGAAAGCGTTTTAAAAAAATATTGGGGGGCTCTTACATTTTATATCTAAAAGAAATTAAAGGATCTTGAAACCCTCAGGTGTTTTATTTCTGAAAATGTTTTAAAAATATTGAGTGTGGGAGTCTCTCATGTTTTATATTTGAAAACATTTTAAAAGATCTTGGAACCTGAGTTATTTTATACTTATAAAATTTTAATGAATCTCAGGAGGCTCTGGTGTTTTATACCTACAAGCGTTTTAAAAAATCTTGGAGGGGAGGCCTCATGTTTTATATCTAAAAAAAACTAAAGGATCTTGAAACCCTCAGGTGTTTTATTTCTGAGAATGTTTTAAAAAATATTGAGTGGGGGGGTTTTGAAAACATTTTAAAAGACCTTGGAACCCTGAGGTGTTTTATATTTATAAAATTTTAATGAATCTCAGGAGCCTCTGGTGTTTTATACTTGAAAGCGTTTTAAAGAATCTCACGAGGGCGTTCGTGATTTATGGAGTCCCCTCGTGTCTCATATTTGAAAAATTTTAATAAATCTTAGGAGTCCTTGGTGTTTTACATCTAAACGTGTTTTAAAGAATCTTAGGGAAGGCGCTTGTGTTTTATATTTGAAAAAAAATTAAATGATTCTGCAACCCTTAGGTGTTTTACATTTATAAAACTTTAATGAATTTCAGGGACTTCTGGTGTTTTATACCGCAAAGTGTTTTAAAAAATCTTGGGAGTGCTTGTGTTTTATTTTGGAAAAATTGTAAAGAATCTTGGACTCCCCATGTGTTTTATATTTGAAATATATATTATATCCGAAAGTGTTTTAACGAATCTTGAAGTGGGCTTCAAGATTCATAGGGACCCTTGGTGTTCTATCTCTGAAAATTTTTTAAAAAGATCTTTAGGCCCTCGGGTGTTTTATGTCTGAAAGCGTTTTAAAAAATTTTGGGGAGGCTCTCACATTTTATATCTAAAAAAAATTAACGGATCTTGAAACCCTCAGGTGTTTTATTTCTGAGAATGTTTTAAAAAATATTGAGTGGGGGGTTTCGAAAACATTTTAAAGGACCTTGGAACCCTGAGGTGTTTTATACTTATAAAATTTTAATGAATCTCAGGAGCCTCTGGTGTTTTATACTTGAAAGCGTTTTTAAGAATCTCGCGAGGGCGTTCGTGATTTATATTTGAAAAATTTTAATAAATCTTAGGAGTCCCTGCTGTTTTACATCTAAACGTGTTTTAAAGAATCTTAGGGGGGGTGCTTGTGTTTTATATTTGAAAAAAAAATTAAATGATTCTGCAACCCCTAGGTGTTTTACATTTATAAAATTTTAATGAATCTCAGGGACTTCTGGTGTTTTATACCGCAAAGTGTTTTAAAAAATCTTGGGAGTGCTCGTGTTTTATTTTGGAAAAATTGTAAAGAATCTTGGAGTCCCCATGTGTTTTATATTTGAAATATATATTATATCTGAAAGTGTTTTAACGAATCCTGGAGTGGGTTTAATGATTCTTAGGGACCCTTGGTGTTCTATCTCTGAAAATTTTTTAAAAAGATCTTAAGGCCCTCAGGTGTTTTATATCTGAAAGCGTTTTAAAAAATTTGGGGGGCTCTCATATTTTATATCTAAAAAAAATTTAAAAGATCTTGAAGCCCTCAGGTGTTATATATTTGTGAAAATTTAACGAATTGTGGTCTCTGGTGTTTTATTCCTGAAAATATTTTAAAAAATATTGACTGGGGGTGGGGGCTCTCGTGTTTTAATTTGAATAAATTGTAAAGGATCCCAGGATACTTTACAATTTCTTGAACCCTCAGGTGTTTTATATTTGAGAAATTTTAATGAATCTCAGGGCCCTCTGGTGTTTTATATTTGAAAACATTTCAAAGGATCTTGAAACCCTCAGGTATTTTAAACTTGAAAGCATTATAAGAATCTTGGGGCGCTCGTGTTTTATGGGGTACCCTCGTGTTTTATATTTGACAAATTTTAATAAGTGTTAGGAGCTCCTGGTGTTTTACATCTAAACCTAAACGTGTTTTAAAAAATCTTAGGGAGGCCCTTATGTTTTCTATTTGAAAAAAAATTAAAGGATCATGGAATCCTCAGGTATTTTATATTTATAAAATTTAATTCAATCTCGGGAACTTCTGGTGTTTTATAACGGAAAGTGTTTTAAAAAATCGGGCGGGCCCTTGTGTTTTATGGAGACCCTCGTGTTTTTATATCAGTAAAAAATTGCAATCAAAAATCTCTAACTTAAACTGTGAAATTTGGTGCTCTAATACAATTTAGGATAATGTTCACAAACAGTACAAGTTATTACATCTTCGCTTTAAGATTTCGGTAGAATTTTTCATGACGTGTTTTTAAAAATCAATATCTTAATTAAGTATTTAAACAAATTTCGGAACACGGTTTTCAGCGCAGTTTATTTCTTTTATTTGAGGAGATATCTTGATTTGTGAACTTAATCTCGTAAATTAACAAACCCAAAAAAAACCTTGTCACCAATAAATAGGTTTCACCAGGATTTAAGGTTGTCTGCCATTTTCAAAAAATAAACTGGAAAAGTCTGAATATGAACTATATACAAGATTCGTTTCTAGATTTTCGAATCTCATCATTGTTTATAAGGTACTCTAGACAGGATTGAAACCAACACCTAACAATAGATTCTAACATTACTCTGCATTGTGAAAGTTGTAGTTATCGTATTACTTACTCGAATAGGGAATCCTTCCTTCCTATTCCAATTTCATCAAATTTATACTCGACAATAACTCTAAATAAAAGTAAATATTTAAAAATGTGTAAAAAAAGACGAAGAAAAATCAATAAATAAATGTAATATCAGCTATACTGCAATATTCAGTATTTTTCTGCTTTATTTAAAATTTGTTCTAGTGCTCACTTCAACTGTGTAAACTGAATCGAAGCAACGCATGATGGTTTTGTTTATATTATTCAAGTGCCCTGAGTTTTCAATTGTGTTCTAGTGGCATTCGTTGCACTTACGTTTGTTGCATTCCACGTAACAATGAATTTTGTTTTTTGTTACCTAAACAGAAATTTTACTATTTTTTTACTTTCGAGCGTGAGCTAATCCAGGAATAGCTGTTTTCTAGACGTTTCATGACCCCTAGAGCATGAAACGATAGATCTCCCGTTTCAGTCGTATAGAGTCTGTGTCGATTTTTTGCTCGTCAAAAAAACTATGATTGAACTACAACTTTCATATCTTCTTCAACAATGTCAGCTTTGCGTAACATTTTCCAGTTAGTATTTCACTTGGAAATTAAAATAAAAAAAAAAAACTTGCATTAATCAAATTTATCGTTCGTTACTAAAAAGTTTCGGTGGCAACAGTGACCGCATTTCATGTCACATTTGGATGGTGGAAGTTGTGATATAGTGTACTTTCCAGAACTTGCATCTTTGATGTAGATTTAAACTAAACAAAGTCAAACAACACATCGGGATTATTTATTTCCTTAGCAAGTTTACGGAACCGTTTGCAGCTATCTCGAAACTAAGTTCTGAGGTTACGCTGCTGCAAAGAATGCAACTCGACAAACTTCCTTAAATTTAATTTCAGATTTTGCGGACTCAGACAAACAGTAATTCATCCAACCATCACGAGTTTATTAGTTTCCGTTTTAATAAAGCTGAAATGCGTCTGGTAAAAGTTGAACTGTAATTTAATTTATTTGCAAATTCGTGAATTATAAATAGTTTATTTTAATGGCGGAATCGATACAACCCCGCCTTTGCGCCATTCTAGGGGCGAAGATCATAAGTGTGTATAAAAGTTTCATCTGACATACACATCTTTATTCGAAGCTACTCTCTACTAAATCAATGACAAACTAACACTTTCTGTAACTCTCTTATCAGTTCCCCTTCGTCGGTGTTCCTCTCCCTGGCACAAATTTCCCAACTTTTCTACAAGAAGATTAATAATTTAGTCGGGACGCCTTTCAAACGTAATATTTTCGTATCTCCGGGAATATTTTTCCGAACATGTTATAACATTTTCTGCAAATTTAATCAATACTTAAATATACGGCTCCTGCTCTTGCCTGAACAGTTAACCCCTATAAAGAGGACAACGCACGGAAATCCACAATACCCTCACAGCTAAAGTGGTGCTTTCTTCTTTTATACACACCGAAAGCTCCCTGATGCTTAGAGCTTTTTAAAACTTCTTTCTACTCCCGACGATGGGACTGTTTCTTTCACTTCGATAACACGTCGGTTTTATTGCAACGTTACAAATTTATGTTCCAATTACTGCGTTCTTAACGTCTGTCTTCTTTTGCAGGATGACTCAAAAGCAGCAAAGTCAGGCGAGAAGAAACGGTGGATACACGATCCCTCGAGTAAGTACGATTTTACCATAATTGGATTACCAATATTACGACGCTTAAATGCATCGACACGGTACTTCGTTATGCATTATGTAAATTGTGATTTATGAGTCTATCGCATGCCGTATCTTTAATAAAATGGGTTTAGGCAGGTATGTAGCTGTCATGCTAAATTTGTCTTTGAGGGCCATTTTGTTCTCAAACTACTTCGGTTTGGAAAAATTACACCGTTTAACGTCGTTAGGTCGCATTACACGGGTTGTTTGTGTCAGCTGGCATGGACTTATTTCCGACGGTGGACCGGGCTTTATTAATGAAATATACTTACTGACACTCGTTAGCATAATTCACGATCTGATTCCAGACAAGAAATAAATTATGTATGACTGGAAACGTAAACATATTAGTTAGCTTCTACTGACATTGTGGACGTCACAACTTGACACTGACATTTAAGAATGTTCACAGTCTGTTACAGTGAAGTTAAGGGTTACTTTAAAAAAAGACACGTCAGTAATTCTAGATTCTAAACTTTTTTTATCTGAGATGTTTCTTATTTCACTGTGTCAAAGAGGATATCTTTAGTTCAAATTTTGCACCAAATGTTAGTGTTAAAAAGAAATATATTTTCATTAGTAGACAGAAATATACAGGGTTTCTACAAATGATTATATGGTCGAAGTAGGTCATAGAAGCGTGTCGCCTATCATTTTCGGATTTTACTAAATGCCCAAGGACTCTCGACAAATCCCACACGCATCCGTATAACTGGTTGCCTAATTTTTCATATCTTATTAAAATTTACGCCAACAATGTTTGAGCAATGATCTTGGGAAAGATCATCCATAATCTGAGACAGTTAACGCTTGACATTCCGAATTTACGTTGACATCAGCTTTGTACTCAGGAAAATAGTTGTTTGGATTCACTCAACGAAATTCTAAGATAATATATTTCATGAATGGTGAAAGTTAAGCATACCTGCATACAAATAGAAAAGTTGAGGGTCTGTCGCTGCACAAGAGATCTTGCAGATTTCATAATTAAATTCATGAGAGCATAGCGTAAATACTGCAGTTTTATAACTACTAAACTGTCTTTAACTTTTAAGTTGCAAAGTTTTATTAGTGTGCAAAAATAGACTATTTACAGTAAGCGGAATGTTGTTAATTGCGAGACCAATATAGAAAAACTTGCTTCTCGCACTTAAAATTGTGTTTTTTTGCTATGTTTAACAAGACGGTAACGCTTCAATTATCACATTAACTAACAATGAACCCTTTAACGCATACGTCAGTTTCCCATGGTAATGTTTATAAAACATTTGATAAAGAAAATATTTGATACATTTGATGCATAAAAGGTTTTCATGCATCAGGTGCGTTCGGAGTTGCCAAATTTACTTTTATAAAAAAAATATTTTCGTCACATTTTGATCAACCTGTGTATATACAGGTGATTCATTTTTTATTTCTTCTACTGATAAATCACAAACAGTAAGAGTAAATATACAAAAAAAATGGTTAAAGGTGTTGGACAGAACTTCCCTCGTTTCCTGAAGTATAATAAATAATACAAAAATCTAGCTTCTTCGAATAATTATAAAATTTGATTTTCGAAGTTTAATTTTTTTCACAGCTACTTGGTCAATGCTATTTAAATTTCATAAGATAACGTACTCCTGTACGTACGTGTACTTTACGAATCCGCCTTGACCGTGGCTGGTATGTTATCTATATTTTTTTCCGACCACAAGTTCAATTTTTAATAATAATAATAATCTTCATTAAACATGTCCAAATGTTACAAATAAACTTACAGCTGATTTGAAATGTGACCTAAAATATTGGTCGAAGGTTATTTAGACAGAATTAAGATAAATGAAAAATGAACAAGGTGAGTTAGGTAGTAGACGAGAACTGACGATTTTTCAATTTTTCGATATTTCCATTCATCACTTTTTACGGTTTTCAATTTCTCCATTTTCATTTTTTGTTTACTTATTATTTCGATATTTCAGTTTTGGGGCTTTTCAATTTTTCGATTTTTGAATTTTGCGATTTTTCAATTTGTTTGTTTTTGGCGTTTCTAAATTTTCGATTTCTCGATTAATCGATTTTTCGTTTCTTCGCCTTTCTGTATTTCAGTATTTTCAACTCCTCGAAATTTTGTTTTTTTTTGAATTTTAAAACTTTTCGAGTTTTCGATTTTTCGATTTCTCGATTTTTCAACTTTCGATTTCACAATTTTTCGATATTTCAATTTTAGGATTTTCGGGTCTTTTTATTCTTCAATTCCTGATTTTTCTAGTTCTCGATTTTTCAGTACATATTTCAATTTGTCGATTTTCATTTTTTGTTTACTCAAATTTTTGATATTTCAGTTTTGGGATTTTAAAATTTTTCGATTTTTCGATTTCTCGATTGATTTTTCGTCTTTTTGACTTTTCATTTTTTTGATTTTCCCATTTCTCGACTTCTTGACTTGTTGATGTTTCGATTTCTCGACTTGTCGATTTTCCGATTTTTCAGTTTTTCCATTTTTCAATTTTTCGATGTTTCAGTTTTGAAATTTTTCAATTTTTGGGATTTTTTAAATTTCAGAGGTTTTGATTTAAATTTTTTTTATTTTTCAATTTTTCAATGTTTTGGATTTTAAATTTTCGATTTTTCCATTTTTTAATGTTGGATTTCTCGGTCTTTTGATTTTTCCATTTCCGGGTTTTAAATTTTTAGATTTTTCAATGTTGCGGTTTTTAAAAGTTTTGATTTTTCAATTTTTCAATTTTTTTTTTATTTTAGGTTTTTCCATTTCTCGAGTTGTCGTTGTTTTATTTTTTAATTTTACAATTTTTTTATGTCTCGATTTCCCAATTTTCAAATTTTTTAGTATTCCTATTTTTCGATTTTTCAGCTCCTCGAAATTTTGTTTTTTTTGAATTTTAAAACTTTTCGACTTTTCGATTTTTCGATTTCTCCATTTTCAACTTTCGATTCTCAATTTCAGTTTTAGGACTTTTGGGTCTTTTTATTCTTCAATTTCTGATTTTTCTATTTCTCGATTTTTCAGTACATATTTCAATTTGTCGATTTTCACTTTTTGTTTACTCAAATTTTTGATATTTCAGTTTTGGGATTTTAAAATTTTTCCATTCCTCGATTTTGTGATATTTCAATTTTTTTTGGCGTTTCTAAATGTTCGATTTTTCGATCTCTCGATTGATTTTTCGTCTTTTAGAATTTTCATTTATTTGATTTTCCCATTTCTCGATTTCTTCACCTTTCGATGTTTCGATTTCTCGACTTTTCGATTTTCCGGTTTTTGCAGTTTTTCCATTTTTCAATTTTTCGATGTTTCAGTTTGAAATTTTTCAATTTTTGGATTTTAAATTTTCGATTTTTCCATTTTTTGATGTTTGATTTCTCGGTCTTTTGATTTTTCCATTTCCGGGTTTTACATTTTTCGATTTTTCAATGTTGCGGTTTTTCGATTTTTCAATTATCAATATTTTGAATTTTAGATTTTTCGATTTCTCGTTTTTTCATTGTTCAATTTTACAATTTTTTGATGTTTCGATTTCCTAATTTCTCAATTTTAATATTTCAGTTTTAGGATTTTTTGCTCCTTTTACTCTTCAATTTTGTTTACTCAAATTTTTGATATTTCAATTTTGGGATTTTTCAGATTTTCCATTTCTCAATTTTTCGGTTTTTTTTATATAATCAATTATTGTTTACTCAATATTTCGATATTACAGTTTTGGGATTTTTGGGATTTTTCAATTCATTTATTTTTGGCGTTTCTAAATTTCCAGTGTTTGGATTCCTCCATTAATCGATTTTTCGATTTTTCAATTTTTTGATGTTCGTATTTCTCGATTTCTTGACTCTTCCATTTGTTGATTTTTCAGTTTTTCGATGTTTAAATTTCGGAATTTTTCAATTTTTGGATTTTTTGAATTTTAAATTTTCGATTTTTCAATTTTTTAATGTTACGATTTCTCGGTCTTTTGATTTTTCTATTTCAGGGTTTTAGACTTTTCAAAGTTTCAATTTTTAAAATTTATGATTATGTGTTCGATTTTTCGATTTCTCGATTTTTCAACTTTCGATTTCTCAATTTTTCGATATTTCAGTTTTAGGGTTTTTGGGTCTTTTTATTTTTCAATTTTGATTTTTCTATTTCTCGATTTTTCAGTACTTATTTCAATTTGTCGATTTTCATTTTTTGTTTACTCAAATTTTTGATATTTCAGTTTTGGGATTTTAAAATTTTTCAATTCTTCGATTTTGTGATTTTTCAATTTTTTTGGCGTCTCTAAATTTTCGATTTTTCGATTTCTCGATTGATTTTTCGTCGTTTTGACTTTCCATTTTTTTGATTTTCCCATTTCCCGATTTCTTGACTTTTCGATGTTTCGATTTCCTGACTTTTCGATTTTCCGATTTTTCAGTTTTTCCATTTTTCAATTTTTCGATGTTTCAGTTTTGAAATTTTTCAATTTTTGGATTTTTTAAATTTCAGAGTTTTTGATTTTATATTTTTAAATTTTTCAATTTTTCAATGTTTTGGACTTTAAATTTTCGATTTTTCCATTTTTTAATGTTCGATTTCTCGGTCTTTTGATTTTTTCATTTCCGGGTTTTAGATTTTTAGATTTTTCAATTTTCAATTTTTTGAATTTTAGATTTCTCGATTTCTCGTTTTTTCATTTTTCAATTTTACAATTTTTTGATGTTTCGATTTCCTAATTTCTCAATTTTTCGATATTTCAGTTTTCGCATTTTTCGCTCCTTTTATTCTTCAATTTTGTTTACTTAAATTTTTGATATTTCAGTTTTGGGATTTTTAAGATTTTCCACTTCTCGATTTTTCGGTTTTTTAAATTTTTATATTTTCAATTATTGTTAACTCAATATTTCGATATTACAGTTTTGGGATTTTTGGGATTTTTCAATTCTTTAATTTTTGGCGTTTCCAAATTTCCAGTGTTTGGATTTCTCCATTAATCG